CCAGAAACATGATAAAGATTCTATTGAAGTAGAGGTTAACCTGGACAGCTCTTTTCTCATCTTCCAGCTCCACGATTTTCTTCCCAAAATGCTGCTTGAGAGCTGCTGTGTCAAATCCTCCAAAAAGTTTCATTTCCGACTACAAAGTCAATAACATGTAAATTAGAACGATATAGAAGGACAAAAGTGCTTATTGCAATCTGCATATTATCATAGATATAGCATCAGTTATGATATGACGCTAATTTGAAATGGAAAAGCATGCACTTAAACCATAAGAAAAGGGAACAAAAAGAAGACAAATCAAACAGATGGCCAGAATGATACAACTATGGTTTACAGTAAACCATTACCAAAGGCTGTATCCAAAATTAAAATGTAATTGCTAAATATCAGCAGTCAATGCTTTCTACACAACACACATGTAATTACCAAATCATCATCACAAGTTTTCTGTTAGCCTCATAAAATTTACGGTTTTTTTTTTCAATAAGAAACGAAAATTTACGGTTTAAAATTGATACTGTTGCCATGATTCAAAATTTACCTCTTTCTGCTCTAGACGTTTATTTAGTTCGTGTAATTCTTTGTCCATGCTATTCTGTAAAAGTGTATGCTCCCATTCTTTTGCCACCTCTTCATCAATTTCACGGGAATCCCCTGCCAACTTGGAAACCATAATTAGTAAAAACGATTCGAACAATACATGGAAAGGAAAGGAACATTTTACTAGTAAACTTAATGTCAGAAAAGATAATCAAGACTCAGTCACAGTTAAGCTTCGAAAATTGATGAAAAGTGAAGATATTGGGAAGTCTAAATTACATAAGGCCATACCTGACATGGTTTCGCCCATTTGAAAATCAGGTGATTCAATACTTTGCAAGCCCCTTTTGAGCCTATCACTTTTCACAGAGCAATTTATAAGTCCATCGCTTTTCACAGAGCAATTTATACCATCCTGAAAGATGAGGTTCAAGGTTCACATAAGAACTTGCTGACAGATATAACATTATACATATTCATGTAAGCAACGAAAAAGGTTGAGGCGGTTCACATACTTGGGCATCTGTTTCACATTGCTCCACAATACTGCATCTACTACGGTATTCGTGAAGCTCACGACACAGATCCTGATTCGCTGCTTCAAGCCAGGCAACCCTTTCCTTGAGAACCTATCACAATGTTTTACAAATTACATCTTATTCTAAACGAAACGTCCAACTATATATATATATATATATATATATATTTTGTAATCATGTACCTGAACTTCATCGGATGAAGACCCTCCACGTGCAAAAAGTTCTGCCTGCAGATATTCTAGTTGTTGTCGCATCTTTAGCATCTCATTGGACATGGGATCCCTGTTAACCTGGTCAGAAGAAAAGAAATATACACCCGGCTATTCATTATGGAAAAAGTACAGTATTCAGAAGTCAAAAAGACAAAGAAGGGAATTTCCATATACTTACAACTGGCTTGTTTTGGATATTACGAGCTCGATTTGCATATTTCAAAGTGTTGAGAGTTTCCTCGGCATTAATATCAGCGGGGCTGATGCAGGCTAAGATAGCAAAAAAATTGTATTATAGGAAGTACTTAATATTAATAACTTTTACCAAATAACAATAGCCTAAGCACATGAAATTTTCAGACACAGGAGAAGAAGGAAACTATGGGTTATTGAAGATAAAGCTCAGCAACTGAAGAGGAAAATATCAATTGTAAGGCAATCAGTATTAGAGCCTTCTATTTACTCCAATCCAAATGCTCTGACAAAGAGCTTTACTGCCAATCAAGCATAAGATTCTGGCTTTACCACCAATAGTGAAGCCATAAAAGATCTTAAAATGAGAATCCTAATACCCCAAGAAAAGCTGAAAGAGAAGCCAAAGGTCTTTGAGGAGATGATTTGGCTTGCAAAGACAAAAGAGCAATGAACGTGATGGCTAAGATCTTCTTCATTTATTATACAATTCAAACATAATTGGTAGAAGAAAGAAATGTGTGAGTTCTTTCTGTGAGATATGCAAGTGGCAATAGAGAGGAAGATCAAACTTATGTGAAAGGTTACAGACAGTAAGATGCACTCATTTCAAATATTGGCCAAAACAATGCCCTAATATTTCAGCTTTCAACAGAGGGAACACGTGGGTGGGGTTAAGAAGGACAAGGAGAAGCAGAATTGATCTGACAAAGAAGAAAGAGATACATTTATGCTTCAGACTATGACAAAAAATACAAGTTTACCTATCATAACAGTTCTGCTGTTACCACCAAGAGAGTCCTGCAAAATGGAGAAATTTTATTAGACTCAAAATAGGGGGAGGAGGGGTGCAAACAAACAAGTTTCTTGAGGATCCGATGATTCTCTCTGGGCTAAAACAATTTTCTTGAGTGCATCTTTCAATGGGATTCTTTTATCAGGTTACTCATTCCTACAAGTTAGTGGTAGTCTGCATGGTCCTCGGGCATAGGTTCGGGTGGTAAATATTTAGTGATCCATTTTCTTTTTCAATTATGAAATTATTCAACCTGGAAGTTCATTTCAGAATTCCTCTAATTTTCTGTTTTTCTACCTTTTGAATTATAGTAGAAGAGGATGGCTAGTCCGAAGAAGATTCAAGTTAAAAAGATTGGCTACACTGAAACTGAACCTGTAAGAGTCGAGTCAGTTTACTGTCCCTATATGGAACATGAACCCCTTCTTTGCGCTTCTTCTCATCACCAAGAGCACTGATGACGTTACCAAGTGCAAGAAGACCCTTATTTATATGAACTCCTGTTTAAAAAGGAAAAAATTGATGAGTAAATAAATAAATACATGCATGCATAAAAAAAACACCCATGAGTGATGTGCCATTCCACCTACCTTCCTTGAAACGTAAACCATCAGAACCTGTTCTCTTGGCTCGTTCAGACCCAGCTAGATCTACCAAGTGCAACTTTGCACACAAATACTCTTCACTCATATTGTCAATATGTCCCTCTCCAGGAAAAGCTGGATTAAGTTTACGCATTTGCTCTAATGTGATGGTGAAGATGGCATGTGAGCGACTAAGGACGGATCATAAAAGCCAGCAACAGAGCCAGCATTTCAGATTCTCATTTCATATAAGTTTCCAAAAGAGTTCAAAATAAACAAGCTTTATATTTCATAAAATAAAATATTTATATGCTATCACCGGACTATATGAAAGGACTTTTCATTGTTTATTCTCATTACTCATCATTGGTGTTTCCAGTAATTTATCATTGAAACAGTCAAGAAACATTCACTGACATGTTAAAACATTGATGAAATCTATTATATCAGCCACAGGATGAGGTTTATCATTTATAGAATCTACAAGTTTTACAGAAATGGTAAGCATAGTTTTACTTACCATACAGAAGATAAGGCATGCAAACCTATCATGAACTAGAATTAGGTTCATTCTACACAGAAAGTAATTAATTGAAGACTCAGAAAGGCCCCCATATCTGATAAGATTATACAACAGGTTCTAACATTTTCCTCAAAACCTACCCAGAATTTTTGTACGTGACTAGCAGAAATTTCAAGAGCCACACTTTTTCCTAGACATTAAATGCCTGAAAGAAATAGCTTTGGATGTTCATTTGGAAGTTTTACCTTGACTGATTATTCATATTCGTACTTCCTGTAGCCCTGCTCAGTGACCCTTGCTCCAGACAAGAAGCCATCTCTTTCAGTGTGTTTACACTAACTTCAGTGGATCCTGCTAGAGTGATAACACCATTTGATGATTCACGAATTTGTATTGGTGGTTTCCCAGGTAGATTTACTTTCCCTGCATGTCCATTTGCACCCTCTACTTTGCTAAAAGAAGTAGGATCTAGCAGGTCTCGTACCTCTTCCTTGAGAATCTTTCCATAAAAAAAATTTTAGTAAGAGCTTTGCACTAAAGACTTAAAAATGCTTGGGAGAATAGATTAGAAAAAAGAGTCGTCAAGGGAAGGGTCATGACAACAACCTCAATAAAGGAAACATGTAATTGAAATTCCATTTGATTCTTTAGAGTTTCAATCTTGCCGAACAGGATATTCATGACTTGAGGGATGATTCCTGTTGTCTGACAACCATCCTTAAAACCTGTGCCCATGGTATAAGTTTTCCCAGATCCAGTCTGCATCAATCAAAATTATCAACTAAGAGGAGAAACTGTATGAGACGTGACTTCATAACAACAGCGCTGCTCTGAAGTTACTTTACCTGGCCATAAGCTAGAACAGTAGCATTATAGCCTTGGAATAGACCATCTACAAGCGGAGAAACACATTCTTCAAACATCGCCAATGAGGGTGAACCCGTGCTTCCATAGACATGATCAAATGTAAATGAATGGGATCCAATTTGTACCTGCTCCGTAGTCAAAATGACATGTAATCCCACTAATTAATAAACTTAGATACCCATACATGTACATTTGTGACTCTACTTGTATGTGCATATCAAAGTGAAGTTGAAGCAACGATTTAAAATTCAGGTAGTTAAATTTTCCTAGGATCTTTTGGCAGTAGTGTAATTTAAGAATGTCTAAGATGCTGCAAAGCTCAAGTGCTGAGGCATAGTTTCCAGCAAAACAAGCTGGCATGACATAAAACCAGTTCTACGCTTTCTTCCATTCAAATTATAACTATTTTCTATCTCATTATACCACCCAATAAGTTGCAAAAACTGTTGACCTAGCCAAAATAATACCAGTTCGAAAGAATATGTGACAGAGATGTTCATTTTATGAAGTTGGGATCTTAAATTGACTCGCGAATTTGTAACTAAAGTAGTTTTGGTTGATTCTTCATTAGGTGAATGGAAAAGGGATGCAAGTAAAACTCTTTAAGTTGAAAAATGAAAAATAATTGACTCGAAAGATGAAAGATGGAACCCATCTGACCAGCAGACCTCCCACCCCCAGCAATAGTAACACGCCGACGAGGCGTTGATTAAGTACCGGGATTGGGAAAATTACCAAAAGGAACCAAAAAGACTGAGTCGGTTGTTCAAGTACTACTTTAATACAATGTCGTCATCAGCCCCCGTATTACCGTAGTAATTGTTCATAAGAATCCAGAAATTTTTTGAAGTTACTGAGTTACTCCCCCTTCCCCCCAATAACAATCGGAAGCTGTGGCAGTGGAAAATCATCC